TCATGTGCCTTCTAGAGGGGTAGGTTCACTCTAGTATTAAAAGTTGCTTGTATAAACCAGAACCATAAAAGGGAATATTTGAAGAAAAATTCAATAAAGGTGCATAAAGTCTTGAATTGTTATCAAACAAAAATTGGCAACTTTGTCATATGCCATGAGAGCTTCCATTCACTTTGAACTAAAATTGGCATAGATTATTTTCTCAACATTTTACCTGTGCCTTAGATAAAAATTAAATTATGATTGGACTTGTTTTTTACACTTGCCATTTGCCACAATGAAATAGATTGATTAAATTATAAACAAGGAGGAAAATTGATGTTACTATTGAGCAGTCATACAAACAAATTGACAGAACTATTTGAGCAATATATTTCATGGGATAATGCTAAACCTTCCACATGGGCAAAGACAGTTTTCTTTTAAAAACACTTTTACTAGATCTTGATATGCTCTTTTAAGTATGAGTCAAAAGAGACTACTTGGATGACCTTCTTCGCTCCCATCCCTGGTGTTTTGACGTCATCGTCACAGCCGTTTGGGGGCTGGCGCAAATCCGAAACAAATCTAACAACAACAAGTTCAAAAGTTTGGCAAAGGGCACATACAATTGAAGATCTAGGACTCAGATTTTGTGTCTGCAAAGTTTGTGTTTTTGTTTTTTGGGCTTGTGTTTTTTGTTTTTTTTTAGTGATGAGGAAAGTTCATATCGTCAGACACTGAGCTATGACGTGTTGTTCGAAATGAATAACAGAAAATAATTTGAAGAAGCAAGCAGTAACAGTAATGCTCTTTAAATGCACTTTCCTTCACAATCTTGTGGTAGATCTATAATGGATCATTACAGACAAGAAAATTTCCCTTCATGGTTTAATGAATGTTTTCCATCAAGCCATTTTTATTAAGAGCAATGTCATTTACACTGGTATAATCACATGCGTTAACTCCAAATTGACATTTTAGAAATCGCACTTTATGATTCCATGTTATCCCAGTAGTGTAGACAAGATTCAAGCTCTTTCAAGGGAGGAAGGGAAAGTCTTAAAATGTTTGATATTTTACGCACAAGACAATTTCAGGTCTTTAGAGCACTGTGGTTAATACGATGTGGACACTAAAATCCCCACAAGAAATGGAAGAAAGTGGTTTCCGCCATTGATATTCAGTGTATGTAATCTGTTCAACGCGTTGGAAAATAATTCCCTCTTAAATTGCATGCTTCATTGTCACTCCCCGGTGGCGGACCCGATGACGATGTGCGTGATGATAAATGTTTTATGACTTGCTGACGTAAGGAACGGATTGAAACAACGGACTGAAACAGAGAAGCAACAACAATGTCTTTAGAATTCAAAAGCACGAGAGCAAATGCAAATGGTGTAGCAATTTGAAAAGGTTATCAACTTTTATTTTCTTTATATCGGTCAAACAGTTTATACCAGTTATAGCTTTTATGTAAAAGGAGATAAAGCTCTAAATAGATAAACTTGGTGAACATAATGTGATGAAAAACTTCCTGACCTTAATCCTTTCTCCCATTTAAAGTTCCTGTGGTTTTGCCGAGATTTTCATGAGAATAGATCAAATAAATGAAAATGAAAATGTTTTTTTTCGGGTCTTAGCCACAAGCTTTAATAAATGACTACCTGTTTCCTGCTCACCACACTGAGTTTCTGCAGGTTTTCTTGGGTTTAAGCTTAAATTAGCTCCAATAAATGGCTCTTTTTGGGAAGACTATTTTTGGAAGGAGCAACCACATTGCAGTACTAAATAAGGGAAATTTTGTTTCCAAAAAAGGAAATTCTGTTCCCAAAAAGTTTAAACCCTGTGTTGTGCTTAAAGGGACATGTGTTTGTACATACCCTTATGGCCCTTATATATAACTTTGAGTATGAATGGGTTTACCTCTGGCATAACTTCACTTTTCCCTTTAATGACTTCTTTCACACTGTCAAATTCTAATACAGGATCTAATCATTACTGTAAGCCATGGTTGTATTGAAATGAATGGAAAATTCACACTGATTGTGACCTTGTCTTAGAGAAATTCATATATAACATATATAATATAATGTATTGATTTGTAAAGCACAATAACTATGTGGATATATTCTATGTGATACATCTTTGTATAAAATGGGGCATTATATGGGTCAACTAGTTGTGACCCAGCTATTAAAGAGCACTTGTAGTTTGTTTAATAGTGTGAAAGGGGTCAATGTTAACCCCCTGTCATAGATCAAGGGGTGCGTAGCTCGCTCGCCGAGATGACGTCACCGGCTGTCAACACCCTCATGGGTTTGACGTCATCTTGGACCGGCACGTGTGAACACCAACCTGTAGGTCCTGGCCCAGCGATTTTATAGTCCCCTAAAATAGAGAATTATCGTCCGATCCTAATTCGCCAAACCACGAACTAGCCAAGATTGGGGAAGGTGCTCAAATTACCAGCTGAATGATGGCAAATACTTGATGCAAAGAAAATAGTTTTTGAACTGATTTGCCATTTCATGAGATAGCGGGTTTTCTGTTTGTGGTTTAATGCACTCCAGTCACCCCAGGGTTCTGTAGCACATATAATATTTCATCAATAAACTTTTTTTATTGCAAGGAACTGGGATAATTTGATTATTTATCTACAGTATATAGAAACACAAAATTCAACTGTACATGAATTCATGAGAATTCTTGACCCAACAGAAGTGTCAGCGATTTATATGAGGTCGTAATCTTAACAGACCTGTTGCAGAAATTGCATAAATCGTATTACCTGTATGGTTTTTATCCCTTCGCTTCCCTGTTTCATTGTGTATTCATTGCTTTTGAATCTTCTTTATTCTTGTAACCTTTTCATATTTCTTTAGACAAGTTTATTGAGTTTTTGTGAGATTAGCTCTGTCAAAAAAACATACATCATCCCCCGAAGGAAAAATGCATTAAGAAGCGTGAACAAAGCCGAAAAATTGCTCAGTGCAAGCATCAGAACGATCGTTAAAGATAGAAATTCTCATCTCGTTTTGTTCCCCTGTCATTTTGCTGCCTTATGGCGAGGATATTAAGATGCATTATTTGCATTACAAGTGGGAGTCGGGCTATCATTTTGGCGACTCAATTATATCCCTTGCGATCTTCGCTTCAAGGAAAAAAGACAAGAAGTATATATAAAGAAACAGAGAGAGCGCGATAATTGCTTTCTCAAGGCAATATTACTATACACTGGACTGTCATTTTCTTTGATGGTTTTGTAATCATCGCCCTGAAGTGGGTTTTATTCCTTTTCCCCTGCAGACTTTTACCAGTGCTGCTTTGCATTTTACTTTGAAAAATTACCATGTAGAATGATATTTTGGTGAATCGAGGCTGCTCAAAAGAATATAAAAAATTGAGGTGTGGAAAGCCGCCATCAAACCAGGAATATTCACAATGTAAAACCTTCACGTTTTTTCGCAGCAAGAACTGTCTGCGAATTACAGAAGTTTGGTGCCATTAAACTTGTGTTTGGTTCATTCGCGGAAGGAATCTTTCATAACGTTTCATGCAAGCAAACGTGTTTGTTTTTATGCGTTATGTTATCAGTGAACCATCAAAATTCATCCAACATTTTATTGTTTGTTTAAGGAAAAATTGATGTTTATTCAGAATTTACTATCAATTCATTTAGAAATCAAAGAAAAGTAAAATCTTACATTTAATACACTAATTCGACCATTTCGCTTGAAAAGTTCCCTTTTTCCCTCAAGCATATTAAGATACAGATATATATCAAATACTTTTACTGTAACTCGTGTTGAATAGTTTCCTTAACAAAACTAGGAAAGACCATTGGTGTTGTTTTTCAAAATCACATTTACTTTCGCTTTTATTGATTATTCCATTTCCTTATCCAATTCATTTCATCAAATCAAGAACATTGCTACTTTACTTCCTGATATCAATTAATTTAATATTATATTTAAAGTTTTTTCCTTTTTTAAAATCATTTTAAAGATCCCCAGTTCCATGAAGGATTTCACTTTCCTGGGATTGCAGGCTTAACTATTTTCTGACATTTACCAAGATTAGAAAGCATTATTCATTCCGTTTGTATTCAAATGGTTGATGAAGCTCAGATGATGTAGTGCAGCTTACAAGAAAATTGCAAGATGAAGTTTTTGGATAGATTTATATGTCTTCTGCTGAGAGTCAGAAAGGCTTTGAGTCTGTGTAGAAGTATATGAGTAGCGTCCTTCTGGTTCTCTGCTGATGATATCCCGATGAAGCTAGCAGCCACTTTGAAGGGGGATTTAGATTGTCAGATCTCAGAAACTGCTGGGTTGATGGATTGAATTGTTCTAGATGGGGATTACTTTAAGCTCTTTCAATATGGAGAAAGGAGAGTTCTTCATATAGCGTGGGCTTTCCTCTGTTATACCATTTTCTGGTGTAGCAACGCTTAGCAATGGTATCTCTTGTCGGGATATTTAAGTTCCTGAAAGTGAATAAGAGATGTGTTTGTTTGTTTTTGGAAGTAAAAAGAAGAAGTGCAGAGTTGAACCAATGTCTGACAATTTGTTGGGAATGGCTGGTAATGGAACGTATTTGCAAGTCTTAACATAGCCATGAACCAACTTGGTGTTCATAGTGAAATGAAGCTGGGAGAGAGTCAGATGCTAGTGAACCCCTTAGGGTCTACCTAAGACTTTATGGAACCTTTTTTAAGTGTCAAATTAGACTAGATGGTCAGTTCTTGTCGGCCATATGGTATCAAACTTTGCGAAGTTGTCAGTTGGTGGTAGTTATCCTAAAAGAAAAGTTGCCAGATGCTGGCAAGGCAACACACATACTGTTTGACGTGTTCCTTACAATTCATGTGCGTTATTATGAACCAATGAATCCGTCATACATTTTACTGGTCGGTTTCATCGGTTCACAATATCGATGCCGAATTGTTGTCAATCTTGTATCTATCCGGTGATGAATCTAAATTGTTTTCTTCTTTTCTTGTCTGCGTCTTCCTCCAGGTAACTTCAAAGCCGGTGAATATGGTACCATCCTCAAGAAATACTGCCCGAAGGAACAGACAGCATTGAGCTCATTAATGTCAGACGTCCTGAGACCGTATATACCGGAATACAAGGGAATCGTAGAGAGGAACTCAGAAAGTATCCTTAACACAAACCAACCAGAAAATAAATTGTTGCTAAGATAATTACGCAGAGGACAGAGTGAATCTTCTGAAATTACTTTTAAACAAAAAGTTGTTGTGAAACTTGGAACTTTCACAAATATTGATAATTATCACATCAAAATTTGAAAATCTTTAAAAATTAGAGTTTGTAATTTGGTTTTCTTTTTTTGGCTATGAATATTTCAACTACCGGTAATCTGATGAATTTGTACAATTTACTAAAGTTTCTGGTTAAATGATGTGGTAGATTCAATCTTTGTTGTAACATGCTTTAAATTGCATAAGGAATATTTTAAACAAAATGTGCTTTACAAGTAATTGTGATTTTGCTCTATGTTATGCTTTCAAATACATTAAAAGAGATGATGAACCAATTTAACTATGTAAATGAATTTAATTTTGGGTTTATTCTTACATTTCTGTTTGATGCAGATTCATGCTAATTCAAGAGTAAGTTTAACATTTTGATAATTTCCTTAACCAACAATCTTTGTTGCAATCAGAATACGTTCAAATGCAGGATCTTCTGGGTGAGTTTGACAACCCTTCCGTCATGGATTGCAAAATGGGAACAAGGTAAGTGGCCAGTCTAAACTGCACCATCTATTGACCATCATATGATACTAAGTTATCTGTAAGGTGTTTCCATTATGCCAATTTGAGCCAAAGGGTTCAGAGGCTGATTGGACAGAGAATACACAATAGTTGAATTGAACTGTTCAACGTATCTCCCTTTCTCTCTGTTTCTCTCTCTCTCTCTCTCTCTCTCTCTCTCTCTCTCTCTCTCTCTCTCTCTCTCTTTGCCCTTTCTCTCTTTTCCCTTTCCCTCCGTTTCTCTTCTGTTTCTCTTTCTTTCTCTGTCTCTTTCTTTCTCTTTGTCTTTCTCACTCTCTTTCTCTCTTTTCCATCGTTTTTTTCCCTCTTTTCTCTCCCCCTTTCTACTTCTGTCTGTTCCGGGTCTCTTTCTGTCTTGTCTCTCTAAGTTTCTATGTGATATTAAAGTAACAAAAAGAAAACATTGTTCTAATACTGAAAATGTCAAAAACATTATTGAGCAATCTTTCAAAACAGAAATTTGATCTCTCTTTACAAAAACAAGAAGCAAAAGTGAAAGTATGATCAGGAAATTGGACTGATCATTGTGCATTTCCTTTTATGGAGTAGTCAAACTCTTGCAATCTTAACAAAAATCAGAATATCCCATTGATAAACCACGTCACAGAATTGAAACCACGCTTACCGAATCAGTTCGGGTTACAAACGTAAAAGTGTTTTGTTTACCCGACCCTGCGTGTGTATAAATGTAACGTATGTATTCATGCTCAAAGTCCATATTTCACGAGATTAAGATGAGCTGATAATCACAAAATGATCGTGAAAAGATAGTGTAACTCTAGGTGTACTAATACAGCATAAATATTCATGTTTCCGATAGTGATCTTGCCTCTCTTTGCGGTTATCAAAACTTGTTTCCCTCTCTATCTTTGAAGATGATCAGGTAGATTACTGATCACCATGAAGCACAGTGACAATATTCTTATCTTTGATCATTTTTTTCCTTCTTTTTCATATTGTGTTTTGACAGAACGTATCTCGAAGAGGAACTCATGAAAGCGAGGGAAAAGCCCAAACTCAGAAAGGTTTGTATTTTGTTTTGATATGGTATCCTCCACAAATGAAGAGATATGTAACAGCAAGGTGATAATGAATAAAAAATGACAATAGTGATTTGGGTAATAATAGCTAACTGTACGTTTATATTGCACACATGTCCATCCAGGGGAGTGGGGGGGGGGGGGGTGCTCAATGCGCTTTCAAAGTACAAATTAATATCCTTGCTTTAGCCAAGCTGCCCTAAGGCACTCAACAATTAACGGAGCCATATGCTACCAGGTACCCATTTACTACACCTAGGTTGAGAGTGGCTAATGTGGATTAACATCAACGTTTCTGTCTCATAACTCGCTACCTCGAAATTCATACCTACAAGGAGCGCATGCTTTTAATCCCTACTGTGAGAATCCTAAACAGCCATTCCAAAATAGCAACCTGCATTTTGCGTCCTTGATACATTTTCTGAGCTGAAAAGATGCTCCTTTGGGGGTGGATTGATCAAGGTGATGTTCTCTGTAGGTGAATATTTTGGGCTGAACTAGAAACGAGAATACAGAGATTTGAGAGCCTTTATGGTTTATATTTAAATCTCTCGCTCATTTTTGCCCAAAAGCCAAAATATTGATTGTGGAAAAAAAACAGAGAAGTGACACAGGCAAAATTAAATCATTGATTAAACTTCTTCTTAGAAGTTTTTGGCTCAGTAACCAACAACATTTGATTTTTTGAAATCAGGAAAACAAACTTATTTTAAGAATAGTATTGATTTCACTTCTTCTCTTCTTCGCAAAGTGTAATTATTTTTTTCTGAAATAAAAGACAAGAATGCCTCAAACAGAAAGCCTTTGGCATTTATACAGACCATGTTTCATCATGTCTTGTAAGCCAATCATATTTGATGAGGAAAAGTGATCAAGTGAAGTTTTCTTTTTATTTAAACATGATTGCTTCTATTGTTGCTCCTTCATTACCCAATCAAGTAGTTTGGTCTGCCAAATATAGCATGCTCTTCTATATTTCATTACATTATCGGCTCTGCTACAGCCGAGGTAATGATATGATACTTTGTATTAAGCACAGTAGAGTATATTCATATAGTAGCTTCGTTATATATGTTATAAATGGACTTACTATTATTATCATTATTTTTATTGGAGTTTCCTGGGTTTTGAAAGTATGGCTTCTAGTCTTCGTATGGGGGCACGCTACAAGAGTCCTATCTCGCACCCCGGGGCAACGTGTCTGACATGGCCGGTTGTAGCAACTACTCCGAAGATCAAGATTACAGTAATCTTGATCTAAGGAGACACGAACGAACGAGTCTTTGTATCATTATTTTGGCTCAGAGTATTATCTTCCGGAGCTATCTCTTTCATGGATCTCGTTTCATCTCTCATTTCTTAAGAAGTGCTAGCTCCGAAATGTGTCAATCAGCTTTTGAAATCGAGAAATGAACCGGTTATGGATCAATTTCATAATGATTCATAATAATATGATTGCAGGGCCCTCAGGGAGAACAGTATCGACATAATGAAGCTGTACTGGGTAAACAAGACATATTTTTTATTATTATTATTTCCTCCTTTAAATTTGAGGTTGTTTTGGTTTTATCTTGTAAGAAATCCCTGAAAAGATGGAAAAAAATCATGGTCAGATTAAGCAAATGAAAAAATATTATTGCGATTGTACGTCAGTTGCTCAGCGGTTAATTTCTTAGACAAATATCTTTGACAAAATCAAAACCCGTCGGATCACCGTCACTTCGGGTGATACGATTTCACAACATGTTTTTGACTGCCATGACACCATAATTAATGAATAATGCAAACCTTTTGATGCCCATAATGCATTACACATTCATTCTGACGTCAAGAGGGGGGGGGGGGGGGGGGGGGGGAGGGGGCGAAATGCCACACACCACACACTATCAACGTGCAAAAAACATGAAAATGATAACATCAATGAAGTACATATGAAATATGGCGCTATGATGAAAAGAGACCATCCGCAAATTAGCTGCCACTACCGCATAATGCAGGCAGCATCCTCAATTGTTCAGGTATTTGAAGCTTTTAGTCCGGTTGCTATGGCAACTCAAAGAAATTTTTGCATAGAGATTCTGCAGCGTAGTAGATGATTCCTTTGTGGAATATGGCATGCTTTCAGTTTCTTTTAGAGCAAGGCTGGTCTTAACATATTGAAGGCGATATATCAGGAATGTTTAATAACCAACTGCAGTTTTAGTTGTATTATTTTTGCGTTGGAGTCATTAAAAAGTTGTATAAGCGCATATATGTTTTTCTATCTATTCATTTATTATATTTATACAGGGAAGACAAATTCCTTTCATATCATTTTATTTATTTCATTTCCAAATGTAAAATAAAACAAAACAATTTAATAGCAGGGCATGGTCGATTATTATATAAAATGTAAACAAACTTTCAATAAATAAATGTACTCCATGACTTGGATCATAAAGAACTAACAGTTACATAATTCCCCCCCCCCCCCCCCCCCGGTAATGTACAAGAAACTGCATATTTCGATATAAACAAATAACTGTATTTCAAAATCCTCATATTCAACACATGTATATTACAACATTGATCAGCATTAGAATATTTAAACTCTGAAAGGTGGCAACAAATAACTGTCTTTCTAAATGTTTTACTGGACAAGAAAGTGATAAGGGTTCAAAAAGCCATTGAAACTAAGTAGTAGTTCTCATTACATCCCTTGTCTGAAAATAGAGAATAACAAAATAATACACAAATATTTTTTGTTTTTATGCAAACTCTGATCATGATACTGAATCTTGCATTTTATTTTTATATTAAATATATTCTAATCACTCCCTTCTTGTTATTCCCTTTCATCCTCAATCAAATTGCTTTCACTACGAATGAACTAAATTTATAGAGATGTGTACCTCTCATAATTGCATCTACAATAACTCTTCCACATCGTAATTTCATTCGTTTCTAAATGTTGTTACATCTTAAAGCCACGCCTTCAGTTATTCACGATTTGTGTTTCTCAATGAAGAAATTGCATATTTTGATAATTATGAATGAATCATAGATGTTGTTAGGCTGTTTATATTATCATTTGTGGGAGATGGGAATTGGTTACAAAGAGAAATAAATGAATAAATCTTATCAATTATTTTTCATCCCTCTTAAATTATCTTCTCAGGACATGTATCAGAAGATGATTGAGATCGACCCCAACGCACCAACGGAGGAGGAGAAGAACAGGCAAGCCATCATCAAGCCACGCTACATGCAATGGAGGGAATATGTGAGCTCTTCAGCGACGCTCGGCTTCAGAATAGAAGGTGTCAAGGTAAGGATCAATTATTTTTCGGGGGAGGGTTGGAGGGGAGGGGAGGGGGGGGGGGGGTAATTGTCTTGCTTTATTTTCCGTTTGTGGGCATCATAAGATCATAAAATTTCCTGTTCTCCCACTTTTCCCCATCTCTCTCTCCGTTCGTCTCCTCCTCTCCTCTCCTCTCCTCTCCTCTCCTCTCCTCTCCTCTCCTCTCCTCTCCTCTCCTCATCTCACCCACATACACACCCACCTCCCTTGTAAGTACATTAGTCTCTCGTGCTTATATTATATTATAATCTTTTATAATCTTTGCATGCATCTATATTTCGTTTCTATGGAGATTCATCCGATTCTGTCACTTTCAGCATCGCACTCTCCCCATGATAAATCTCCCTCTCTCTCTCTATTCATGCTTCAATATTAAATTATTATTATATTACATATAATGTCATTATTGCTCGGTCAGATACTCAAGGTCAAAAAAATCTTCTAGCCTTCGCAGTCTTCATCTTTTTGTCTTCAACTCTTTCTCTACATGTACATCTATGATTCCACTTCTTATTCCCCTCTCTTTTATGATATATCCTTTTCACAGTGTCATTTCCCCTATATCTAGTCTTTAGTATGTCGCTATGTCTCTTATTATATATTACTCTCTACAATCACTTTCCGTTCTTCTATTTACAAGATATATCTCTTTTTAGTATATTATACCTCTTTTCTTTCTTCATCACTCTTTCTCAATCTTGCTTTCCATATCTCTTGTCCTTAACATACATTTTTCTCTGCCATCGTGATTATCAAAGAGACCAAGTGTCGACTGATTTGGTGGTAATATCCCTCAATTTCACAGTCCACCTGATCTCTTACTTTCCCTTTGTTGCAAGGTGAACGGTTCAAGTTTTTCAATACAGCTTGATTAAGTTCTTATTTACTATCTGTCCTAGCGACCGACATACGAGGATGGTGTGTGTATGTCTCCAGGCAAATTCGGTTTTACTTCTCCCTATTCTAAAGTTGATTTGAATCTCATGAGAATGTGCCAAGCTTAGGAAACAAGAACTTCATTTGTTGTTCCAGATGTGCATTTCTTGGAAGGACTGATCTGTTTGGAGCCAGAAGGGCATTAACTGGTATACAGTGACACATAGTCGACGCCCTTCTGGCTCTCAACAAATGAATATTTTCCTCAAACATATTTTTACTTGTGGAACAAGCTCCTACTTTAATAGGATATATTATAAGCTTAGAAGTTTTGTAGTCGAGTGGTCTAAGCACTTGACTTAAAATTCAAATAGGATATATTATAAGCTTAGAAGTGTAGTAAAGGACCGAGTTGGTTAGGCACTTGAGTTGAAATTCAAATGTCGTGGGTTCGATCCCCAACCTAGCACTACTGTCCTCTGGCAAGGCATTAATCTACATTTGCCACTCAATATCCAAGAGAGAAATGGGGATCTGGTAGGATGACCAAAGTACTTGGGTTAGTAATTGCCATATGCTTTCACGGTGACCATATGGTAGGAATACTCCCCAGGAAGTGGAGATGGTGCACATTGTGCATGAATGAATCCGCTGAATAGATCAGTAAAAGCACTAAGAGACGGTATTTCGTATTAAGCGCTATATAAATCTAGATTATTATTATTATTATTATTAACAGCTCTCTATGTCTTCAGAGTTACTCTCAACATACCCATTTCAGAATACGCTATTTTATCATTGCTAAATTTTTACCCATGCAGAAAGGAGACGGCCACTCGAGTCGGGACTTCAAGACGACGAAGACTAGAGATCAGATCAGCGAGAGCTTCAACTTCTTCGTCGACGGCGGCGCTGAAGTCCAAGCCAGGTATATCAGAAGACTGAAAGCCATCCGTGCAACGCTGGAAGCATCACCGTTCTTTAGCAATCATGAGGTAAATGAACTGAACGTATAATAGTCGAACATCTCGAGAAGAAAACTGGAATTGGTCCCTGTGGTTGTGAAGATAAGTTCACAGACTATGAAACCTTATGCAAAAAAAATGTTTTCTAGATGTTAGAAATAGGCCATTTAACAAATGGTCAATAGAACATTGACTGTACCCCCTTTGTGAAGTAGGTTCCTGTTTCATTTCATAATTTTGATCTTACCTTGTCAACTATATTCTTTATTGTTCAAACAATTGTTATATGAAATGAAATAAATAAAATCAATCAATCAATCAATCAATCAAGAATTGAATATTAGTCATGGTTATTAATATGAAGGGTTTTGAGCCGACCATAGAAATTGCTTTATTTACGGTTTGCGCAATAGTACTCACATGACCTTGCAATTAAAAGACAATATCTCATGGTTTGTGAAAAAGTGCCTAGATGGCGATGCAATATTTTTTCATTATCGCACCCGTAAAAGAAGTGAATATGCTTTTGAATACGCAAAGGCTAAGACAATGGATGTATAGGTATATCGCACTCACGTTGAGCATGTTTCTGTCGTTGTTCCGACTCGTGAAATCAGTTGGTGAGATATACCCTTTAATCCTACTCAAAACCATTCAATATTATATGATTGTCTGTGGTAACTATGTATGCTCTCCAAGCATTGTGGACTCTCATGGTTTTAAAACATATTTCATTATTTGTGATACAATGATGTACTTTACATTTCCGGTTTAATAGGTACGTTCTCCGTACTCCAATATTATAGAGGCCAGATTCAGTAAAGGTCCTCGATTTTCTATTTTAAAAAAAATCAATGAATTAGTCATTATCACCTTGCAATCTACAACCATAGGATCATTCCCTCTTGAATAATTAACCTTGGATTTTAACCCCACATTCTGCATAGCGGAAATCAAAATAAAGTATTTGAAGAAAATACAAGACTAATTTCATCCCTTTCTTGCACTTGAGCAATGCCACGAGTGAAAGTCTTGCTAATTATACCCGTAGGTGTTATTAGCAATCACACGTTTATTTCCTGCCAAAGGAAATTCATTTTTTCCCTTCATTATCCTGCATGTGTGGTTATCTTCAAGGGATTGCTGCGGAAATTGCACAAGGATAATTCACTTGTTTAGTTTCTTGTTGACTAATTTTTGAAATCATTGAGGAAGGAATGTCCTTACCACCTTCCGTGCCTCAGGTGGCAAACGCCTGCCCTAGAATGAAAGTGTTAACTACGTGTTGGGACTGAGAATAGCTATATTTTTCTTCCAGGAGTGTAGTATTGTTACCTTCATGGGGAATTTTTAGAGACCATTTTATGAAAGATATTGCCTGTTGAGAACCAGAGGGTACTTAGTCAAACCTGCTTTAGTGACCACCTGTCTACAAAGACCACATTTTTTGTTTCCCTTGAAAATGGTTTCTCATTGAAACATGTACTAAACGAACCTGTCTTCAAAGACCACCTGTCTTCAAAGGCCACTTTTTGTGTTTCCCTTGGTCGGTTGCTATAGACAGGTTTGACTGTACTTACCTCTATGCAAAAGTACAAGTTAACATCCTTCTGTCTTTCAGCACAAGAATTATGTGCTTTTGTTTAAATAACAATTTGATACGTTTTTGTGAGAATACAGATGATGAAAACTGATTTATTTCCTTATTTTTAATTGTTTGTTTGTTTGTCCTGCAGGTCATCGGCAGCTCTCTCTTGTTTGTCCACGACCGGACGGGCAAAGCCTGCGTCTGGATGATCGACTTCGGCAAGACCACGCCCCTCCCCGACAGCTTCACCAACGACCATCGGACGCCCTGGGTGGAGGGCAACCACGAGGACGGCTATCTCTATGGGCTGGACCAGATGATCCAGGTCTGGACCGAACTAGAAACCACGAAACCAGCATCATAGTCCATGCTGCCCGCCCTCTGTAGTTGTTGTAGCGTTTGGTGTAACCTTTGAACTGAATCTAGTCAGCTGAGGAAAAAGAGAGAGAGAGAGAGACGGGGGTAGAGCAATGGATACAATCCCCCGTAACTCGTAACGGAGCCATTCCGCGAGACGACGGCGAGAGATCCCATCGGAGGAGAGGAAGGCCTCCTGCTCCAGGGAGGACAGCCTGGATGGGTTGTCAGGCGGACGGTGGTGTTTCAGCATTTCAAGATGTTGGATTTGATTTTTGTTTATGTTCATGGAGTGTCAAAATTCATCTCAGGTCCAGAGACAGCGCGAGAGGAACCAAGTTTTCTGCCAAAATTTATATGCAGAAATATAGATGTTAATAGTAAGAATGTATCACCAGTCACCAGTGTCCTCATCAGGCTGCTAGGACAACATACAACCCCAAGGAGTGGACCTTCAGAGGTCTTGGACTTTGTTTGATAAGAATCCTCAAAGAGGGCCGTGTCTGTTGAAGTTAAGTGTCAGGTTCACAGTCCAAATATGGACTTGTATGCACAAGACGTACCTTATCATTTGCACATCCTAACGGTTAAACTCGCATAATACCCTTTGCTTTATTAGCTTGAGATAGATTGGGATAAACCCTATTCGTAATGCACATGAAACAAAAGAACACCCTAAGAGGTTAAATGCCAGTAACCCAATCTCATCACAAAACCATCTCCAAGTGAACTAAAAAACGGTTATGGGTTTTGTAAGCTTTGTCCGTTCTAATTGTTGGACTGATGTCAGTTTGGTCGGTGTGACAGGGTCATTACATCCTGGAGAGGGACTCCACTTTTACGCATTGGAGTCCCTGATCAAGTGTTTCTTTGCCAAGATACTATAGATGCCTTTGTATACAGGTGGCCTTTCCAACTCAGGTTGAAATAAGAGGTCGGGTCCTTTTGGATGTGTCTAAAAAAAAAATCTGCAAACTGTTAGTGGTGCCCCCTTTTCCACTTTTGTTTCTTGTTTCTTTGTGTTTTGCAACTATGCAAGAATTTGGTTCATAGTGAAATAATTATCCTTGCTTATATAGCGCCTAACACTTACTTTATCAGAAGTCTCTAAGCGCTGTACAATAATGCAGCATGATAAAGGGATTTTTTTCTTCACAGGGGCTGGGCACCACATACAGTTCAGCAGAGTTTTTTCCATCTTTTCCAGAATGTGGCTACCCTTGGTAAAAAGGACCCAGTAATAAGTATTTTCATCATTACCAGTCCGTCATATGCAATTCTGATCAATGGAGCATCGACATGCTTGTGGTATGTGAGTCGCGTTCTATGATCGCAAGTTCCTAATGCAAATGGCCCAAGCTTGCATTAGCCATGAAGAAGAATGACTTGAGACAATTCCTCTACATTCATTCGGATTTCATCCCCTCTCCCAACACTCAGAAATCTGTTGTTATAATAAGCAACGGATGTACCTGTGTGCCTTTCAGTTATACTCTACAGTACAGTACATCTCACATCCAAACATTACACTGGTGGTGTTTATACTAGTTTGACTTTTTTGTTCTCATCGGGAATTTTTTTTTGAGATTTGTCTATAAATTTCAAGTTTCATTTTATACAAATGTGGTGATTTTTTAAAGTGGAAAAATAAGGCATGTTCCACACTGTTGGTTGTCACATTTATTTTTCTTTCTTTTTTTATTAATCTTTCTATTTAGCATAACACAGGTAGCTCTTAACAGTAACGTGATGTCTTATAGTGCTTATGTTTTGGTACCAAATTTTCTACGTTTTATTTCATAGCTTATGCCTTATTTATATAAACACGATTGTTTTATTTTATCTTTATCTTTCAATGTAAATTGACACCAGAGGCTTGTTTATAACCTTTCCCCAAAAATCAATCGCCTTTCTGCCTGATTTTGAATTTAACCGAGCCTTGTAACGCATTTGCTGCAGTCGATGTTCTCAGTATGTGTTCTTAGGTTGTTCGCGTTCACTCTTGTCACGTTTCGTATCAATTTCTCTCTCTCCCCCTCTCTCTCTCTCTCTCTGCACCTTCGTAATTTTCAAAAGTAATAACAAAAATCTCAGTGTAAATTGTATCGATGCATATTGCTTGAATTTGTATATAATGGTATTGCTGATCAGCATTTTTCGTAAATTATAGATTGTACATTTTCACATTACTATAGCAAGTTTATTATTAGATATTTACTCAAGAAATAACATGGGTTCGTAAACGTCTGCGAAAATGCCGAACAATGAAGCTCGGCGTGACGGCAGATATAGAGCTAATGATATTAAGGATGTTGTAACTTCAAGATGATGAGCTTTTATATATGATACGATGTTCCAGCACCACATATGTTGGCTTTGTCAAATGCAATTTGAAATCTTTCCATTCTTTGCGTGAATATGAGTTTCAACAAGTTATCGTGCCTATCGATTTCATGGCTGTGAACAAGTTACATTTCATAAATTGATTAAAAAATTAATTGTGTGTTAACATAGGATCAGGGTTTTTAATATTTTAGAAGGCAACTCATTTTTACTTTCCGTTGGGACTGTTTGTTTTGTTTTTAAGCGTAAATGCCTTCTTTCCTGGTATAACTTGTTTAATTTTAACATTATCGTGTATGTCGTCAAATTATCTCCATCTAAACTCCTCAACGAAAGTTCTGCAATTCAAGTTTGAGCCCTAATATATTCCTTGTTATTATATTATCATATTTAACATATACTAACGAGAGATATCAACGCTAAAACTTGAATTGCAGAACTCTTTCAGGGACTTATTTGGGTTCTTTTGAGTTATTAATACTTCAAACATTACAAAAGTCAATACTCTCATGTAACATGAGATAAATTAGTATGCAAATGTGTTGGAGAAAATGGTGAGCATTCGATTTATATTTTTATAAGGGGAAAAAACAACTGCCAATTTTCTACATTCATCCCTTGTAAGATTGAAAATGTTCGCTAATCTTCAATACTTTTAATCTTTGAATCTTGTCAAAATCTTCATAACAAAACTAGAAGATCTCAATTTGCTACATCCTTAAATCTTTCTTGTAATGCATAAACATGAAATTCTTCTATTAATATTTTCAAAATCATATTTCATAACGAAATGCTTTTCATGATTGTTAAAGGTGTCCATATCTTTCATTTGTCATGTGTATTCCATTTCAACATTCCCCAAGATCCTCAGACATTTATATCAAAACCTATAAAACATGACTGTCTTTCAGCATTTTCGTTTGTAATACTACAGGGCCAGATGTTGACTGTAAGAGTCACATTTTAGTCTTATTTTAATGTTATTTGGAAGTGTGAACTGGTGCATTCCATGCCGAGTAGCGTCAGGAGTTATGTAAGCTCTATTAACACTGTAACCCAAAATCATCACTTGTTCTCACATTCTGGTGTTATGCAAATGCGACGAAAAATAACAGTTAACAAAAATCCACCACTGGAGTGTGATTTTTATGGGTTTTTCCACTAGTGTAAATCAAAGTCCAAAAAAATTATGATTTTTTTTTTTCTAAATGATGTTTAGGCTGTGTAAATGGGCCTCTTGTTTTTCTTTTTGAAGATTTCTATCTTTCTGTTTGTCAGCTCATATTTTAACAGGAGACCCAGAAATGAACATTAGTATAAGGTTAAATGGAAATGCGAGAAGGCAGTTACAAAAAGACAGAGGTTAAAAAAACTAGAATGAGAACAGTCTACCGTGAAAGCATTAATTCTCCATCCATCTCAGGTTTCTTATTCTTTCCTTGTCAGATTCTTCAAAAGCACATTCGTGTTGTTTCCCAGAATTCTCACATCAATAGCTGTGCATCAAGTTAAAACATATTCAAGGTCATTTAATACCCTAGATACCTTTCATACAAAACTACAAGGATGTCAATATGTCCCTCTAGTTTCTTAATGGCAAGTGCGATAAAATATCTTTTGTGCGTTGTTTCTTGGGAATGAAGCTTCCAAGGTATAACTCGGAGAATGGATGTATATGACCTTGGAAATAATTCAACAAATCAAAACATCAGATTCTTACTTTGCTAAATGAGGCTTTTTATAGCTCTTCATTTGTGTGAAGTGATATTATCAAGCTTTTATAATGGCCAATAAGCCTCTGTGTCTCGTCATTCCCATTGCCTAACTTCCTGAAGAAAAAAAAGATCAGTAAACCCTTAAGATTTAATAAATTGAAAAGTTATTTTTTATTTATCCTTACTCTGTCACTCCCTCCTAGCCCAAATGAATGGAATTTCATTCATTTTGCAGCCTCTTTCTAAATTCTCTTACATCGATTCCAATCAATTAAGACTTTGGGTTACATGGTATTCTATATTTCATTTCTTTTCAATCTTGCTCTAAATACCAGAAAGATTTTGGATGTTTTTAGACTAATGGGTGAGGCACTAAATAGTGTGTGCCAAGCTACCGGTACCTTACTGATCTACAAAAGATGTGCTTTATTGATTTGTTTTCTTCAAGTAGTGTCTTTTTATATCGAACATGCCTTACATGTCTGTGCTCACTTGCTGTTCATGATGTAGTTTTTGAAATAAAGAACTTATTTTTGTTTGTTTTTGTTTCTAACACTCTTGGAGCAAGGGGAACGTTTCAGAGAAAATAATTTTGATGTATATTTATCATGTTTGTATCGAAATATATATATATAGTTATGGAGATAGGTTACACTATTATTATTATTATTATCACTCATTGAAATGAAGAAAAGATGCCTTGTATCACAAAGTGTTCTAATTGATTTAAGTCTGTACATTTCTTTCCATCACTTTGTCTATAATTGGCATCTTATTTTTCCTTTTGATATTATTGGTTCTGGAATGGGAATTTAAATCTGTTTTTGTATACATAACCACAAGCTATGGTCATGTCAATAAAAAAATACATTTGAAAAAAGAAGGAAAAACATGCAAATAATAACTTTCTGTTTGTCTGTTTCTGTTTATTTACGGTCCGTGGATAATTACGATGTCATGCAAAAAAAATGACAGGAGAATAAATGGTGTGAAGAAGAATAGGAACATGTGAGTGGTCAAGAGAGAGGGTAAGAGAGAGGAAGAGAGGGAGAGGGTAAGAGAGAGGAAGGGAGAGAGAGAGAGTAAGTGAGAGAGAGAGGGAGGGACAATGGGGAGGGGGATGCGATTTTTATTTAGAAGGGAGGGAGCAATCGAGTGTTAGTGAGATTGTGAACATATGAATGTTGGACAGAGGGGGGTGGGGAAATTAGAAGAGAAACGGGAAAGCACGATATCGAAAGAAAATTTACAATGACACCGAGTTTGAATATTTCAAGAACATTTCCATGTTATAATAACGAACGCGATTATCACTTGAATTATATGGGGGAAAGGCTATCTATGTAAAAAAAAAATTTTAAAAAAAAAGGGGGACGTTCCTTTAAGTGCTGAGACGCGTCAGCATCACTTTTTCTCTTCAAATTCGTATTCATATCTTGACCGGCAATTTTTTTTTTTGTATACAATCGTATAGATTGACCGAATTTGCAATTGGGCAATGGTTATTCAATTGAATTGGCATTTTGCGGAAGAAGATTTCTAAACACAGACATGCTTTATCACATTATCACCGCTTGACCAATCGAGGTGTCGTCTCGTCATTTTAAAGTGCGACGTGGTGTAGAAACTGACGGCAGAAAGCACAGGTTCGGGCAACGTATCTTCTTCCTGTTGATGATTTTGTTTCCCTTTCCGTCTCTTCCTTCTATTGATTTGGCAATTCAAATGGGGGGGGGGGGGCATATGTACACCCCCCCCCCCCTTTCGGGCCATCGGCACTACGCCACTCGTGGTTTTCATCAACATTGCTCCACATTTTTCTCTATTATAGATCAATTTTGCATTTGCTTTATAGTTTCTATAGTTTTATTCTTGATAGGTGCGAGCTCACGATTTGCTATAGGCCCAAATGACTTGTACATTTTTTTTTGTATAAGACAGTCTGATTGACTAGTTACAATATATGATTTCCTGTAAATTTATATTTCTTTTTTGTAAAAGCAAAAGCAAACAAAACCAACTACAACAAAATGTTGAAAAATTGTGAATCAATCCAAAACTCGTGTCTATTTGAAAGAAAGAAATACAACATGCAATATTTTATTTTTTATTTTTTTTTGGTGGAAATTCAAACAGAAAAATCAATGCATGCCAAGCGTATTTTACATTTATCCTCAATAATTCATTTTAGCGTAAAATCTTTTCGTTTGAGGTTGATTAATGCCACTCTGCATCAACTCCTCTCCTCCGAACTTATATCACAGACTGATTCCTTTTCAATTAACTTCCTTAATCCTTATACCTCTGGGAAGTGGCTTAGGGATATTTCACTTGCATTACGCTAATCTTTTTCCATTATCTCTCACTTCGTCCGTAAATATTTCACCGTCTAAGTTACTTCCAATCCTTTATGAATATTCCCAGGGGCAAATATCGCTCATTTCTGGCAGGAAATGTAGTGGAATCTATATCCTTGTGCGTCTGTAATTTCATATCATATAAAGTGAAAATTCTTTGATTATTCCATTTAAAGGGGAAGACCACCCTGATATTAAGTTGGTTTTCAAAGCAGAGAAATAAGAGAAACAACTTAATGAAAGTTTGAGCAATATCCGATTGAAAATAGGAAAGTTATACATTTTTAAAATTGTCGTCAGTGAAACACATTGGCCCGAATTCACAAAGGAGGTTTGTCGACAAACCTCGTACGTCATATGACGCGTTTTGACGCGTTTTTTACAAACCTGGTTTGTAAAACGCGTCGAAACGCGACGCACATAAACCTTGGTTTGTCGACAAACCTCCTTTGTGAATTCGGGCCATTGACAATAATGTAACGTATCATGCAAGCCCCTCTATAATTTTCTCTGTACGTAACATTTCATAAACTTTCATTTTAGATATTGATGACGGAATGGCTTTTTTTCATACAGGGGTTCTATTAAAAAAAATATAACTACAATAATTTATTTATGGTGAAAGTATGATGTTTTTTAAGTATTGGGATAATAGGAGGGGGGACCTCTGTTTATACGTCACAAAGTTACCATATTGATCGCATCTTCAAAAATGCATAACTTTTTAAAAAAATTATTCGATTTTTGCAAAAATATCCCTGATCTGTTCCTCTCATTTTTTTTGCTTTTATTAAAACCAATTTAACATCAGGGTCTCCCTTTTAAAGAGATTTCTTTGGTACATTATATTGGATAAATTCTTTTAATCTATAATCAATGGAAATGTGATGTTATTTATTACCAAATTTATGCCTTGGTGGATATTATGACAAACAATGCGTTTTCAATATTAAATTCACATGAATATACTCAAAGAAACGTGGTTCGTCAGTGACAGCATAATAATGATAAAAAGAAATTAACAAATTTTCCTGGCATGTATTATACACATAAAATGTGCATACAGCCAATGGAATATTAAGATCATCGTCATAAAACATTGACGTAGATAAGACACAAACAAGAACAGGTTAATTAAGTGACGAGCACGGCACTGCATAAACATTTATAAGGGCACTAATATAGCACATCGACAGGGTTAGTGCCCTTTTATGAGGCATTAATCCTCATTACTGTCAGTTATGACTGAAGGATGTAGGTCCCCTAGTTGATTAGCATAGTAGCACACACATGCTTTAGCAGTTACGCAAAACAAACATTCACAAATTAATATTCAATAAAATCTGAGAATATAAACTATTATATATATTATATATATATATATATAGTCAAAATTATTCCATAAATTGGGGTAAAAATAATTATTCCACCACTATGACCAACAGTGTACTTTCAGATTATATTATTCAATACGTAGTTCTAATAGAAGAATATAAAATATATATTTATTTTTATTCTTTTCTACATAACTCGAAAACATAGTTTACGCACGTACCCTCTTGGGCTAATTGTGCTAATTAGCACATCATAATGGGAAAAAGAGAGAGCTTTTAATTGGTGACGTATATATGGTGCTAATGACGTCACATATATATTTTCAGCGGAAATAGATCAAATTGCCCCATTTTTCCAGACAGGGCCTAAAATGCTTTAATAAAAATAGATCTTTAAGCTGTTTCCAAGCCTTTATACGTTAAGATATATGTCTTGCAGATACTCACGGGAATAACATTTAGTTTTAGAAAGATGAAATTAGAAATATGAAGAAGAAGACGTTAGGAGAAAGGTAAGGAGAGGTTAAGAGAAAGGGTGAAAAGAGAAAGGGAGAAGGGGTGAGAGGTAGAGGGAGAGGGTACATAAGAGAAGAAAAAATAGAAGAAGAAGAAGAAGAAGGACTAGGAGGAGGAAGAAAACAAAGAAGAAGAAATGGTAAGAGTAGTAACTATAGTCGTAGTAATAGTAGTAGTAGTAGTAGTAGTAGTGGTAGTAGTAGTAGTAGTAGTAGTAGTAGTAGTAGTAGTAGTAGTAGTAGTGGTAGTAGTAGTGGTAGTAGTAGTGGTAGTAGTAGTGGTAGTAGTAGTAATAGTAGTAGTAGTAGAAGTATTTGTAGTAGTAATAGTAGTAGTAGTAGTAGTAGTAGTAGTAGTAGTAGTAGTACTAGTAGAAGTAGAAGGAGACACATGATAATAAGAAATAGTGAATGAGAAATTATGCATCGAATCAAATGTTTTAAAGTGGTTTTCTTCGGTTTCTTTCGGAAGTTGGCCAGTGAAATAAAGAGCTGTTTAAAAATAGGCCAATATATTTTTGGATGAGCATTATAAGAAAACATAATAATGATTTCAAGAAATTAAAATTGTTTAAAAAGGCGTTAAAATACAATCAATGAACAATAATTAAGAAGACGATGAGCATAAGATGATAATTTGCCTTACAGTAGTGGATGTGAATAGTAAACCTGTTATTTATGTATATAATATTTCCGTTATCGTTTGGTTGAATACCCCCCCCCCCCCAACATAAAAAAAGGGCTTTAGGGCCTATTTTCTATTGTATCTATAAGATATGTAGTTTTAATTGATTTTGGTAAAATGTTATTTGTTGAAAAAATGGATATACAATTATTAACAGCTAACTTATTAATACCCTTACCAATTTCGTTATGTGAAAATTAATCTGTTCCAGAATTCCGTTTCTTAACAGTACGTGTGACATATTAAAGATATATCTAAAAGGCCCTATACCAATCCACCTCTCATTCTTGAGTTTCGAAAAGAAAAAAAAGGACATAAAAATACAACGGATATGAATAATTTAGTTTTTAATTGTACACAAGGGAGATGCTACCGACGAATTATAAAGCAATCACCTTCAAAACAGAGGGGAAAATTATTTATGAGAAGTTGCGTTGCGACAGTTTGCTCGTAAATGTCCACCAAGGAGACGATGATGGCAGCAAACATAAAAGTCAGATGGATCAAACCTGAAATGCAGTGGGTTTGGTTTGGTTTGTTGATAGTTGCGATAGATCAAAATTTAATATGAGGGAAACGCGCGGATAAATGAAGAGGGACAAACAAATAACAATAGAAAGAAGAAGAAGAAGAAGAAGAAGAAGAAGAAGAAGAAGAAGAAGAAGAAGAAGAAGAAGAAGAAGAAGAAGAAGAAGAAGAAGAAGAAGAAGAAGAAGAAGAAGAAGAAGAAGAAGAAGAAGAAGAAGAAGAAGAAGAAGAAGAAGAAGAAGAAGAAGAAGAAGAAGAAGAAGAAGAAGAAGAAGAAGAAGAAGAAAAAAAGAAGAAGAAGAAGAAGAAGAAGAAGAAGAAAGAGGAGGAGGAAGAGGAGAAGAAGAAGAAGATGAGGAGGCAGGAAGATCATGAAGGAGAAGAAGAAGAAGAAGAAGAAGAAGAAGAAGAAGAAGAAGAAGAAGAAGATGGAAAAGAAGAGGATAAAAATAGAAAACGATAATGAACTTTTGTACTGGTAGATGATATGGAAGATGCGTCATGGGCATGACGACACCGATGACGACTAGACACGATATACCCCTCTTGCCCCAAGCTAAAATGAAGAACTTTACGACGGCTTTTAGTCATCTCATTCAAGGTGGTCAGATATAGTATTTATTACACCTATGTAATATGGCATCGCCTGTGGAATGGTTTTAGAGATCTAAGGGAGTGTGTATATAATTATGAAGCCCCCTCACCAACAAACGAAACCACTATAAATCACTCTGCAAACCTCTCTGCGAATCTCTCTGCAAAGTATAAATTTGCAAAACAATTTAGCACAGACGGATGCAAAGATCTTGTTAAAAAAATTAATAAAACCTTCTAATTTCGTTCATACATAATATGACGGTGGTGGTTGTGGTGGTGGTGGTTGTGGTGGTGGTGGTGATGGTGGGGGGGGGGGGGGGGGTGAATTTATTCATGTTTTGAGATACGACTTAATAACCGGTGTCAATATTTTATGTATTCCCATCTCAGCATAACTGAATATTTTTCGCGATCCATGTGCATGTCTCCGTAAATGTGTATGTCGCCCTCTACCAGATGTAGAATAACCACAGAGCGCTAGCAGACGACAATAACATCCCTGTAAGAAGAAGACAAAAATGAATGAAAAATTACAACGACACTCGGAGTTACAGTGCACTTTATTTCCATCTCATAACAATTGTTTTGTTTAAAGACGGTAATCTTCAGGAATCATTGTCAAGCCATTATCCAACATTATTAGCATGATATTCGTTTGTAAATAAAAAATAAAACTAGTTTAAAAGGGTTATCAGAGAAAGGATTCGGATAATAAAGGAAAATGGAGAATTGAATAAGGAAGAGGTAAATCATGGAGCTTACCAATTGTATGCTTGAAATGAAAATCTAGAAAGGAAGGCATTTTTATATAAATATCATTAAAAACAAATAGGCCCCCTTTTTACACTGAATTATAGCCTCCAATTAGTTTGTCACCATTACATTGGGGGTCATTGGTTGTCATGAAATCGGAAATATTCAAGAAAATAAACTTACAAATCTCACAAGCGATCCATCTTCTAATGTGACTAGATATACAGAAAACGATTAATGTTTTCTTTTGACGAACCGGTAAAGGCCGGGTCTGGATAAATAGAATAGTTGCAGAGTGTGTGAAGTTTGTCAATACATACACACGTGCGATTCGCGTGCGAACTATTGAGCAATCCACACACGAACGCACAAGACTCATTCATGCAGCGAATCAGTGCATTGAATCCAGTGAATGCTCCAGCTGGGCATACGAAAATTGGCACTGGCAGGGAAGGTGTGCGCGTGCTATTATCGGAGGCGTAGCCCAAATCACGTTTTTACAGGATTCATCATCATTTTGTGGTAAAATAACGATTTATTCTGCGATGAGCTGTACGATGAAGCAGTGATTCAGATCTTCGGAAATCTAATCACTTTGTATTCAGTTTTTAACCACGTGGAATATCTTTTCATCATTTTTGGTCGGGAACCACTTTCCTAGATGTAAATGCACCTCACGGTCACCCCACACGTAAACGAAATTTAGCCCGTTACCTCAGGGGGAGTTAACTTGGTGAGTACGGTAGTTTTTCAAAACATATCCTACGGACGTCCGTTGCTAATTAGTTGATTTGCTAGCCCTCTCCAGGTTTTCTTTGTATATTTTAGATATATATATTTTTGGAAGAATGTAAGTTATTAATTTAGGACAACTTCGTTGCCCTTAATACTTTGTTATAAGAAGCAAGTCGTTGCTCTTTAATTTTGACTGAAACTGTTTTTGTTTGATTACATTTGTTTAAATTCTTTCTCCTCTTTCTTTAAACAGGATGAAATGCACGGATCATGATCTATAATATAATGTGGAATATATGCAGCAATGATGATCACAAGCAAGGAGTCATCAGTGGAATTTGTACTATCTGAGGAGCACACCAAGCCATCAGCTTTAATTGAATTAACTTGCACCAGACAATTGACTAGAATGGAGATGTTTGTAAATGGAATTCTAAAGTGACAACCTGAGGATATGTTCATTCTTTTCCAAGGAAATTTATGAAAGGATTCAAAGGATTATAGAAGCTGCCAGGATACTGGAATGGATTTATAAGGATATGAATGAGAAGTGGAGCAAATTTCGATGAGGGTGATTACACAGATGAAATTTAGATAATTTTTTTTGTTGTATATTATGATTTCAACTATCACTCCAGAGACCTTCATCAAACCCTGATATGTTGTGGTAACTGCAGTTCAACAGAAGTCACAGCTGGTAACCAATGTTAGCCATGCACCTGAGTTAACGACACAGTACTCTTGTTGTTAAAGAGCTTCATAGTGTAGTTTGTTATCGTGTTATTGTTTAAGGAATAATCATGGAAGAAGAGATGACCTCGATGACCCAAGATGAGGTCCTTCCATACGTTATGTGGACAGTGGCCACAGCTGTACTCGTGGTCAACATCATTGTCCTCATTTTAGGTGTGGTCCAAAAGAGGGAGATACCAGTAGATGCTTTTCTCATCCACAACCTCCTCTTCTGTTACCTGCTCCTCTGCCTCCACCCTTATGTCATCCTCACCATGAACATCATCCTGAACCATCGGCATGACGAGGTTGTCATCAAGGCGCTCTGTAGCTTTGCCAGCTTTGTGGGCGTGGCAACCTCCACCATGTGCATGTTGACCATGGTGACGCTCGCCAGTAGCTTCCTCCTCCGTCTCCTGTTGCCGCGGCGATTCAAGAACCTCAAGTCGTACCTCAATGCCTTGAGGATCGTCCTCATCGCGGAGTGGGTGTTGGTTGGTCTCTTTGCAGTGGTGCCTCTCATACCATTCCCGGTGTTTGCGGAAGCCCAGGAGACCTCCAAGGTCTATCTCTGTCTCCCGCTTCACACCATGCTCGAGCAGGAACCAATGTGGATCTACACCCTAGTCCTGGCGTCCATGGACGGCCTGTCCATCATCGTCCTCCTCATGCTCATCGTCGTCACCGCCTGCCAGCTCCACAAGCAGCAACGCCATAATGTCGGGGTAACACCCATGGAGGCTAGGGTCATCCAGAAGAACGCCGCTCTGGTCAAACGCGTTGGCCTCATGATGCTCAGTACAGTTGCCTTCCGCTTTCCTGGAGTGGTAGCTATCTTTGGTGCTAACCTCAATGTGAGTATTCCGACGGTGGTGTTCCAGTGGGTGTTCGGGATTGTACTTCCGTTCAGTGGGATCATTGGACCTGTCATCTATGTCTTCTATGCTGGCCTGGAGGACACCACCCTGGAAGCATGTTGGCACTCCTGCAGGAAGAAAGGTGAGACAATACTCTGATAATTTTTACATGAATGTTATGAACAAAGACCCAAACTGGAAAGTGTATATTAGATTTGCTGACTCCAATATCCACATCTATAAACCATTTTTTTCTTTGTTACCGGCAATTAGCTATGAGAAATGAATTCTTAAAAAAGAATGCAATTTCTTCTCTGATAAATTGACATGAGATGCTAATGTATAGTATGATTATTGATTATGGTAAGGAAGACCCTTACTCTAAAGATGGTATCAAAATGTTTCAGCACTTGTCAATTTTCAATTCGTTTCAAGTTGATACACTTGAGATATTATATTGAAACATGTCTCCCCTAAACTTGTGGCCAATGTTCTCTATTGTTTATCTTGGAACAAATTACCCTTCCTTTGTTAGACAACATAAACGATATACCTGTAATCTGTCAAACAAAGAAGATGTCTTTAGTGCACACATTGGGTCCGCCCTTGTGCAAATATTTGTTATAACAGTTATGTACACCTCGTTTATTTTTAATAAAGTCTTAGACAGGTATCAGTATCGCTCAGAGTAATAATAAGATACCCGGTATACAAAACACTGTATCCTGTAGGAGATACTTGGTTTGAATGCTTCCAAACATTGGATAGTGACAAAATTCTCCCCCTTTATACCATGGAGGGCAAATACTATTCATCAATAGAGGTGTTGTCTAGTGGATACATTGTTGCACTGTGAATCACATGGTTTGCAGTTTGAGTCCCACTGCGGCACTAATGTCCTTTAGCAATATATGAATCTATATTTGCCACCCTCCACCCAGGTGTATGGTACCCGATAGGAAGAAATTCCTTAAATGGTAAAGCCGGGGTGATAATATGATTACAGGGCCCTCAGGGAGAACAGTATTAATTATGTTGAGGCTACCTAGGGTAAACACAAAATTTTGTTATTATTATTATAATATCACTGATGCAAGCCTACAATATACATGTAAATTTGTTTCAGACAAAAAAAAACTTAAATTTTCTAGCCTAAAACATTGCTAAACGAGAACTAAAAGCATGTGTTGTAACATGGATATATCATTGTATGGTTATTAGTTGTGAAGTTGGTTCCCATTGAATTTGAAGGTATTTTTGGCCTTAAAAAATAACTTTGAACTTGAAATTTATTTCTTGAAAATTTTCTAATGGGAGATGATGATAAACTGCTGGCACAGCACAGGTTTAGAATCTTACCAGGGACTACCCTTATGATCTCCCTTGAGGCGTATGAACAGACATTTGCTGTAAAGTATAGATTACATTTCTTTGCCTCAACCAATATCTGACCCCAGTGCTACAGCCACATGCAAGTCAAAAACTTGGTCCAGAGTTTCAAGATTTTAATATTGCTGAAAGCCATATGAACAGACATGTGCTGTATGTCCTTGAAAGTATACATTACATTTCTTTGCCTCAACCAATATCTAGCCCTAGTGCAAGCAACAGGCAAGTCATGAAAGGGTCCAGGGTTTCAACTTCAAGGCTTTAATGTTGCTGAAAGCCATATGAACGGAAATGTGCTGGATGTCCTTCAATATAATCAGACGCTTCAACCAATACCAGGGGGTGTTTCACAAAGATCCTCAGTTGAACTTATCTCTAAGTTGGACTTAAAAATTATGGAGAGACATTTGTAGCCTCATAATGAAATATATTCAAAAGCAAAAATTCAAGTATTTCACATCAAGAGCATGAAATCTTCCATGATAATAAAAAATATGAATGATTTGAATCAACATTTTATGCCTGTTAAAATAACTGTTACAAAATATTTCCATAGATGCAAACTGCTTTCCATAATTTTTAAGTCCAACTTGGAGATAAGTTCAGCTTAAGATCTTTGTGAAACTTTGTGAAACACCCCCCCCCCCCCTGGTCTCATGTGCAACAGGCAAGTCAAGATGGTGCCTCTTGACATCCCTGGTTATATCAAGACATGGTTGACCGCAAGTACCTGTGAATGTTGAACATCACACAGGAAGTCGTCCATAATGACATGCAAGTCATAAATCAGGAGAAAATTATCAAGAAAATATGACTGCAAGTGATGAAAGACTTGAAGTCATAAGGTGACTCATGAAGTGTTCTGATTGTCTGTGGATTCCATACACACTGACTGAGTAATCTCTAGGTTTGTGTGGTTTTTCTGGTACTCAATGGCCCTTTTGTCTTTCCAAAGCCAATTTCTGTGGTTATGATGGTGCGTCCTGCCGTTTTTTTAAATTGACCATAATGCTATTGATACATATTGAAGACCCATATGGATTTGGTGGTAAATAGGCTACAGGAAAAGCAAAGGAAATAGGGTAGGTAGATAAATACTGGTAAATAGGCTATAATCCCATGCAGGCTGCGGTAAACAGGTTTTAGAAAGGAAAAAAATAAATTGAAAATGGGTGGGAAATTTTCTACTGAGCATAAGAGGGATTAATACCAATAATTGGAATTCATTATTCCCAAGAACCTGAAGAAATGGTTTAAATATCATTGATTTTTACCTACCCTGTACATACAGTATACACTGTACACACAAAAAAAAACCACCCAAAACAAACAAGCAAGCAAACAAACTAGACTATATAACTTATTTCAAGGAAAAAAAAGATTAATTAAAAACAGATTAGGGTAATGGGAAAGAGGAGAACCAGATCTCTATTGGCTATATTGTATGTCACTCCGCAATAAACCTCTACCATTTTCTTCTCAACAAAAGAGTTGAACATTTGATGGAGAAAACCATCTTGAACCATATTTGTGTAGGTCCTGAATGTGGTATAATAAAGTATAAACCATTTTAAAAGTGTGAGACATTGGACAGACAATTTGCATTTTTCTTTTCAAAGATCAAAACAGTATTTTACATATAAAGAGAAGTGAAAACTAAAGTGTACAATACTGATGTTCCCCCAAAGAAGTGTTTGACAGGAATGACAAAATATGGAATGAAAACACCAAAATTGTCTGCAGACGCTGAATGACCTCAAGGTCTTGGAATGTTCCCACTGTAGACTCTGACTGCAAAGCCTATTGACCTCACAGGTTTCACAGTGTACATTTCAGTGGTAGATTTTAGCCAAAAGATGACAAATTTGCACACTAGGCGGTGTCACACAGAAAATTCCCTTGAAAAATCCCTCAAAAAATCCTTTCAAGGGAGAATTTTTTTGCTTCCTTAGAGGATTTTTAATGGGATAATTGATGACAGACAGCAATTAAGAGGATAACTAAAATATGGATTTCTGGTCTCTGTGTGACACCGCCTACTGTGAGTAAAGTCGAGATGGGGGAAATGTGTTGTTTTGAAACAAGCATTTATAATGTTTCAATACTAAGGAGAAAGAAGGTAATGGTGAGGAAAAAATGAAGATTAATCAAAGTCAATGAAAGAAGGAAGGGAGAAGATTTCTGAACCGAAAGCTACTTTATAAAGGAGGAGAGATTATGATGATTACTAAAAAAAAGTAAGAAACAAAACCAGGAGGAAGAGAAGGATGACAATGAAGGAGAAGAAGAAGAACAAACAGAAATCGCAGAAGGAGTAGGAGAAGAAGGAGGAAGAGGATATTGATAAAAGATAATGAATATATATTTAAAAAAAAGAAGAACTAGAGGAAGAGGGATAAGAGAATGAAGAAGGAAAGAATCAAGAAGCATTTTTTAAAAACATTCTTTCAAAATATTATGAAATTGTGCGCTTACATAAAGCAATTTTTATGACTGAAACCAAAGAATGGGCAATAAATTTGATATGAAAAACGAGAATGCCAGCATTTATCTAGAATTGCAATACAAGAGAAGTTACCAAGTTACTCTTGTTCATACACACTTTTTTTCTTCAGATCTTTCCGACAAAGTCACTGATATGTAGTTTCATATTTTAGGGTTCTGGAGATTTGAGAGTCTAGATGTATGTCAAGTGTGAAGCCTTGCTTTTGCATGTACAAAAAGATGAATCGGTGTCATGTCAAATGTTTTAATGTATTTTGGATTTTAAAAATTTGGATTCTCTTAAAGCTTTGATAAAGTTTGATTAGACCAAGTACATTTAATACTTTCATTGAGTTTCTTCTTTTCTTGTCACCTCTTCCCTCTATCTAACCTTTTTTGGGGGTATTATTTTGATACTTTTAATTTTTGTATGAAATGAAAAAAATGTGAAAACCTAGACAATTTCATGAAAAACCAGAATGCCAGCATTCATGAAGAATTGCAATACAAGACAAGTTACCAAGTTACTCTTGTTCATACACACTTTTTTCTTCAGATCTTTCCGACAAAGTCACTGATATGTATTTTCATATTTAGGGTTCTGGAGATTTGAGAGTCTAGATGTACGTGTACATGTCAAGTGTGAAGCCCTGCTTCACCATGTAGTGTACTAAAAGATGCATGGTGTCATGTCAAAAGTTTTAACACATTTTGGATTTAAAACCTAGGATTCTTTTAAAGCTTTGATTAGACCAAGTACATTTAATTCTTTTATTGAGTTTTTTCTTTTCTTGTTACCTCTTCCCTCATTCCAACCTTTTTTGTGTGTATTATTTTTATACTTTTGATTTTTGTATAACATGAACAAATTTGAAAACCTAGACAGTTTCATGAAAAACCAGAATACCAGCATTTTCAAATAATTGCAATTCAAGACAAGTTACTGAGTTACTCTTACTTGTTCATACACTCTTTTTTTCTTCAGATCTTTCCGACAAAGTCACTGATATGTATTTTCATATTTGAGGGTTCTGGAGATTTGAGAGTCTATGACTGTGTAATGTACATGTACATGTATGTCAAGTGTGTAGCTCTGTTTCACCATACTAAAAGTTGAATTGGTGTCAAAACTTTTAATGCATTTTCGATCATAAAAATTAGTTTTTTTTAAAGCTTTGATTAGACCAAGTACACGTTATACTGTCATTGAGTTTCTTTTCACCTCCTCCCCCTTTTTAACCTGCTTTTTTGTATTATTTTGATACTTTGATTTTGTATAAAATGACAAAATGTGAAAACCTAGACATTTTGAACAATGTTCAAAGAAATTTCAGCTTATTCATGTTTATAATGCCAACTGCTTTCTTTTTTCACAGCCGTGAAAGGGGGCAGTGCTCTACGTGTTGGACTGGGTCAGCTGGCTCGTACGGTCCCGCCCTCGAGAGCTTCTGGCCACGGAAAGGGAACGGACATAGAGGGAGCTCTTACCAACGGGATGGGACCACATACCCACGATACCTTGCCCCGGGGTAGCAACCGTGCCCCTAGTGAAGCATCGTGGGTAGAGCATGTCATCATGCAGTCGAGACCTGAGGTTAGTAGTTTCAATTCAATTCAATTCAATTCAATTTTATTTCGCAATATAAAAATCAAAATATACAAAGTAACAGTAAATTTTAACTATGTTTACAAAGGTTATATGCGGGGCTTTCCATGAAGGTTGCGAAAACCTGTGAAGTTGGATCGCCCAAGTTTCCTTTTGCTTTTGTTTGTAAAGGGGAAGTCCACTCTAGACATCAAGTTGGTTTCAATAAATTTTAAGAGCAATAGATCAGTGAAAGTTTGACAAATTCTGATTTCTAATCAGAAAGTTATAAACTTTTGAACTTTTAATCAATCAAATACAAACTGGCAAGTCTGTGACTTATCTTGCAAATTCTTCTCTCATTTGCTCTATATTGAAAAAGTGATATATATTTCTCTTTCATCTAAAGAAACTATGTAGTCGTACATGCACCCTAGATATACATGTAGTCATCGCACATATTGTTTTTGCACAACCTCTCTCGCTGTAAATCGGTATAAAACAAATCCATTCCTTCATCAACAACTACAAATATATGAAATTTAAAGTACAGAGCAAATGGGAGAGGACAATAAAAGATATGTCACAGAGTTGCCAATTTTGTAATGATTAATTTACAGGTTCTTTGAACGAATGTATTTTGAGCACATGTACATGTAGGTCATCGACAATGTTTTAATTGATTGGGCCAATGGTTTAATTATGATTACATAATCCTTGCGTACTGTAGGCCAGACACCACTTTCCGTACCGATTACAGCTCTCTAATCTGAACCTATTCCTGCAATTCAACTGTTGCAGCTACACTGTATATATGTAGTTCTGTCTTGTGATTTGTTGCTTCTCCTTCTTCCTCTTTTTCTTCTTTCTCTTCTCTTCTTTTTCATCTTAAAAAAAAACTCTTACAGTATGTTATTTTATTCATCAACTTTGTTCCTCAAAGTTCTCTTTCTACTTCTTGTATTCTTTCCTGTTTGTGCTCTGCTTAAAGCTACAGTCCCATATACGTCCCGGACCGTCCCGGACCATCCCGGACCCCATCCGGGGTGATCCGGGATTCGGTCCGTGTTGACACCGTGTTGGCACCGGGGTGGTCCTGGATGGTCCTGGATGGTCCTGGACGGTCCTGGATGGTCCTGGGCGGTCCGGGAGTCGACCCCGGATGTTTTTGACGGTCAAAAACTGCCGGGGTGGTCCGGGACGGTCCGGGACAATAGTTTGATCTGGGGTGATCCGTGTAGCCACCGTGCTGGGTCCGGGGTCATCCGTAGTGGCGCCGGGGCGGTCCGTGTTGATCCGTGGCAGTCCGGGAGTGAGTTATTGACCGCCCAGGACCATCCAGGACCATCCAGGACCACCCCGGTGCCAACACGGTGTCAACACGGACCGAATCCCGGATCACCCCGGATGGGGTCCGGGATGGTCCGGGACGGTCCGGGACGTATATGGGACTGTAGCTTTTAAAGCATCACACTTTTTTGAACAAAACATCCCGGACCATCCCGGATCACCCCAGACCATGGTCCGGGATGGTCCGGAGTGGTCCGTGCTCGTCCGTGCTGGTCCGGCTTTATATGGGACTGGGGCTTAATTCTCTTCTCCTTTTTATTTCTCTTTTCTTCTCTCTATTATCCATTCTCTTTCTTTTTCATTCCCATTCTAATTCATTCTTTGTCTTTTGCTTCTTCTTTCTTCCCTTTCCCTGTTTTCCATCCCCTCTTATCTCCCTCTCATACAGGTACTTCTCTTTCCTTCATTTTCCCCATCTTTTTATTTGTGAGCTCATCTGCCATTCTTCTCCCTTGAAGTCTCCTCTATATTTCATTTTAGTCATAGATATCTATTTAACAATTTCCATCAAAATTGGAAGTGATTCACATCATGTTTAGAAGTAAGTCTCGGCTAATTTGGAGCAGGAATTATCCCTCAGTATACCAATTTTATCTGGTCCCAACTGCTCCTGAATTTTAGTTGATTCTTTCAACAACGAGAAATCTCTGTATCTAGGTTTCCTGTAGGATGTTGCCACATAATTTGCCAAAATGTTTCGATTTTCCTGTTGTCAAGGACAATGAGTGAATTGCTAAGGTAGACTTACATCTGTTCTTGTGATCATCTATTGGAAGTAAAACTAGACCATGTTCTCATTACAGAGATAGGCTTTGGTTTTCATTACCTTAACCTAAGCTATGGTCTGTGCCAAGAACAGCCACTTTTTCTTGCCTCCTCTTTGTCCGTGATCTTGTTCTTCTTCTTGATCTTCTTTGTTTTCTTGTTCTTAGTGTTGTTCTTGGTCTTGTTCTCGGTCTTGTTCTTTTCTTTTACTTCTTCTGTTTTGCAAAGTGCAACCCATGGCACATGCCAAGAAGGGACACATGTTTTATACCCTGTACACGCCTGCATTCCGTCAATGCGATCTATCACATAATTTGCTTTTTGAGAGTCCTGTTATCTTGATATTTAATATACTATACAATGTAGTACACAATTCCCACCTTATGAAATCTCTACTTGATTTGTATGAGAAACACATGTACACATGTATACACACACCCACACCTGCATGCTGGGAATGTACACCTGAGTTAGAATTTCTGTGCAAGAGTGAATGTGAAATGCATGTAATGTTTCTTCTTAATATGCTGAGGTAGTAATATTACCATTTCTTACTGCTTGGTGCCATGTATTCTGGTTCAGAATCTTAATTTCCTATTTATAAATTCCTTCAGAACTTTGGTATCGTGGAGTGGCAGACCAGTAATGGCTCCCCTCGCAGAGGTCTTCTGCAGACGTTCCACCCGGACCACTACCAGCAGTGGAAGACTGAGGCCCTCACCCTCTCCCGGCTCCAGTCCAAACGCTTTCATCCCCACATCATAGAATGCCTGTGGCACTCCAACAGTTCCAAGACCCGCTTGGATCGAGGAACAGGCAAGGACGCTGCAAAGCCTGTCTACTTGGAGAGGTAAGTCCTTTTGTATTACTTACACTTTAGTTTTAGTGTTTTAGTGATGGTTATTTTACCTGACTGCTAAGAAAGCATAAATGCTTATTAGTAAGCAACCAGAGAACCAGCGGTTTTAGGTCCTCTCTGAGGGACCTGGTCATGAGGATTAATGCCTTACCAAAGGGCACTAGCGCATCGACTTGGTTTCAACCCGGGTCGCCGGATTACAGACCACTGCTCTACCAACTGAGCTATCGCGCCTCCTGTACATGTAGTACAAGAGCTAATGTACCTGGCTTCAGTCTAAAATGCTGTCTTCCCCATATCTGTGCTCACCTCTGGTACTGTAACAGTTCCAAGACCTGTTTGAATATAGGGACAGGCAAGGATGTTACCAAACAGGTCTAATCAGAGAAGTTGGTAAACCCCTCCCCCCCCTCCTCCCCCTCCTCCCCCATTCCTGAAAGCTTCCGTCTCTTTTAAGGAACAGTAAAGAAAGAAAAAAAATACTACCCTACCACCCCTTCTAATTTTCCTATGAGCAGTTTAGTATATTTTGCAATATTTTGAATGGTCTAGATTTACGATAGTTTCATGCTGTGAAATAATGGAGCTCCTGCAGTGAACTTTTACATGTATAATCACTTGTAATACATTCCGAATGTTACCTCCAAGAGTTCAAACTGTAAATTTTGACTTGAATATGTTCATTAAAACTTTGTATTTGATGAATTACGTACCATCAGCACACGTTGCTAGTTTGACAAATGATGTGAATCCGAAACTTAGTTGTCACCCCACGGATGACATAAATTTCAACAAATCAATTTTAATGGATGCCTGTCACAGGGCACGTACACATATGAAATATGATGGAAAATATGAACTTGAAACTGCAACTACACACTTGTTAAGTGCTTAATATGATAGATATACCATCATTTCAAAACCACATCTCGGACATTAAAACTGATTTAAGTTGGAAAACATGCGCACACACACACACATTTCTCAGAAAAAATTCCCTTGAGTGAATAATTGATTGCTTTGAATCTGTTGCACACATAACATTTAAAAGATGTTTTAAACACATGACTTAGTTTTTGTTTCTGTTTGAACTTTGAAGAACAAAATTCCTTCTCGTGTATACATACATGTAACTGAATAAATAGTGTTCTAACAGACAGAAATCATGGCTAGAAGCTTGCCATGATTCATCAAAGTAAATGTTTGAGTTAAAAAGTAATTTATTTAATAACAATATAACCTTTTCCCTTGTCATTTTGCTTTCCTCAATATGGGGGAAAGATTTGCATCACTTCATTTTAAACCAATAAAGCATGAACATGTATATTCATGTTGTACTCCAAACTTTTTCAAGTGTTCTCAAAGATGCTGCAGCCAACATTTTGTTGCTGGTTTTGCAAACCAATGTATAGCTAGATCTCCTGTGCGTAAGCTCATGCATGCATTGCTTCATGCGACCAGCAGTTATTTATAGAAAAGAAAAACAACAATAAAACTTCTAAGATTATAAATTGAAAGATACTTGAATATCTACTTTTGGAAGGACTTTTCACGGTTTAAAGGCTTATGTTTTGGAGAAGGTTGCTTTATTCTTGAAATCCTAGAAGATTTCTTCTTCCAAATCAGATTAATGAATGCACCTGCTCAGCAAATCAAGGGATAAAATCTCAGTTTCAGAAGCTGACACAAAAGTGAATGTGTGGCAGTGAGCAGTGGTAATCAGGTAACCCAATTGTAATTGAGTAGTTTAATTTAAGTTTCATATCAGTAACTTATCAATCAAATACTCCCCCATGTGCAGACAGCAAGGAAAATCAGTTTAAAGGCTACCATCCATCTGTCTGCCCATCTGCCTTTCTGTATGTCATGTGATCTATGTAGCCGACGATCCGCCGACTTCCATTTTGTTGTTGGTGATGATGAGATGGAATTTTGTCATTTTGTTGTCTTAATCATAATCTGATTGGATAGTACAGGGAGAGAGAGAGAAGGGGGGGGGGTATAACAAGATTCGGAAATTATCTCAAACCACAAGAAACTAGTTATTTAGATTTTATGTTATTTAATGTATTAAAAAAAACAGGACAGCTACAGTATATGAGGAAAGAAAAGGGGGTAGAGAGAGAGAGGGGAAAAGAAAGAAAAGTGAAAGAGAATGATTTATATCGACAAAAAGTAAAAGAAAAAGTAAGATAGTCAAAGAAAGGAATATCTCTTGGTAAGAGAGAGAGAGAGAGAGAGAGAGAAAGAGAAGAGAGAAAAGAGATAGATAAAGATCTAGTTTGAAAGATAATTCATTTGTGATTATGTTCTTGTAGTATTAGTATCAGAATGGTTAAAAAATGTGGAGAGACAGGGAGAGTGTGAGGGAGATAAAGAAATACATGTATCTGGATCTACATATATACAGATATTAAGATAGAGAAAGAAAGATGAAGAGATGGAGCCTGAGGGAAGACAAAAGAGTGACAGATATACATGTAGATACCTGATACATGTAGATAGAGATAGCAAAAATGATCAAGACTGGAAGAAATTTAATAATTTTCAAACAAAATAGAGTTATTTGTCACCAAACCAATCATTATAAGCTCCAGTTATGACTATCAACCAACCATTCATTCAGCCAGGCATGCAGGCAATCACTTTCTCCACGACTGACCCACCCATCCTCCAACCGACTGACCGTCAGACCGAAACCTCAAATGTGTGGGAATCCAATCACGTATTATGATCTGAAAATTAAATCATCTGTCCCCGGCATTAGACATAATACACGCCGGTAAACTAATCATATTTGCAAATGTGGAGCCGACTGGGGAGCAGAGTATAAGTACAACAATGGCCCCCAGGCCAGTAGGTTGCGATGATTGGGTGTGCTTGGATTCCTTATTAGCCTTGCTCCAATGATTGATAAATCTTTTATCTCTTTTCTTCCCACAAAATAGCATTGCAATTATAGTAAATATTGTTTAGTCAATGTCTTATTGGTGGAAGGTTACAAATTATGATTAAAATCCCATTTTTATGTTTTCTTGTTTGAAAAAGCTGATGATATTTGTGATGAGGCCAAAATTTAAATTGATTAAAGGATTGAACAGGACTAGTATCTTTTAAAATGCTCAGGGGAGGAGGATGGTGTTTTAATTTGCTTAAAAGAGGTCATTAAATAGTCTATATTTGAACTTCGCTGGGAGGCCTCGGAAAGGTATCTGAGCTAAAATCCAAAACCCGATTGGGATAAACATCCAATCTGTTGGAGTAATCGAAAGGCGGTGAGGGTAAAGATGCCTCCTCGCAAACATAATCAATCTTTCACAGAATGGTCAAATATTTGATAATCGAGTTAAGCGAGGTATCCAGTTGGAGCTGCTTACTAAGATGTAAACACCAGTGAAACTGTGATGTCATCTGCTGAGAGCCAGAAGGGCATTAACTTATCTACTTTAACACAGAGTTAACAACCTTCTGGCTCCAGACAGACAATTTTACTTAATGTCGTTCTGGCTCTCAACAGACAATACAATGTTTCCTGAAATTGCCTCTGAAACAGTGAGTGAAGTTTACTAAAAGCTGACAAGATGACTTGTAGGTATAATTGTGTACTCAACTCAAACATTTTGTATTTAAAGGAATGTTGAAGCATCTAGTTAAAGGAATTTTTAGAAAGTTGTCTTCCCAACAACCCTATGTGTATTTTTTTTTAGAATCAATTCCTGAGAATTCAGAGAGGAATTTCCTACATTCAAGATACACATACAATCCGTTATTGTCTCTGATATGATTGTGTTGACATGATGTGTAAGGAAAAGGCTCTTGGCATGGATAGTTGCCCTCCCAAAATTCAATTTTCTCTCAAAAAATATGGATTTTGTTATCTTTTGACAAAGAAAAATGCTCTTAGCATAGATATTTTGCCTTTCCAGTACTTTACTTTCCTGTAAAGATACCTCTGTTTTTTTAAAATCTGACCTTCCCATGTGTGTAGAGGCCTACATGTATGTTGTCTAAGAAAATAAGCTCTTTGAATATATATTTGCCCTCTTGGTATTCAATTTTCATGTGAAAAATTATATTTCTATTGTCTCTTGTCTGGAATATACATGTTTGTTGACAAAGAACAAAAGTCTTGGCATAGATATTTGACCTTTCTTGTTCTTACATATAACCTCCTCTTTAATTGTACCTCTTTTGTTTTCTTTTTGTCTGACCTGTATTTGTTTGTGTAAGAAAATTTCTTAGCATAGTCTGGATATTTGCCCCTCAGAATTTATTTTTCTCTTCAGATATACCTTTTGTTGAGATGTGTTTTGTGATTTGTTTTTTGTCTTTTGTCTGATCTTTTAATGTCATAAAGATAAAAAGAAAATAAAAGGCTCTTAATAGTGTAGATATATTTTCTTTCCAATACTTAACTTTCTCTGTCAAAGTATATCTTTTGTTGCTTTTTGCCTGACATATTACATGTATGTGTATATGTTGCGTAAAAAAGCTTGCCTTTATGGAATTCAATTTTTTCTTCAAAGATATACTTTTTGTTGTCTCTTGTCTGACGCTTTATTTAAGGCAAAAGCTAACATCATGCATTTTAGCCCTTCCAGTACTTACTCAATCCCCTCCTTAAAGATACAGTTTTGTTATTTTTTGTCTGACCAATTAGGCTGCGACCGAACAAGAGTTATCCATGTGACAACTTGCCATATGGCGTGGGATACGGTGTAGAGAAAACTGTCTCAAGTAGGGGGATCCTTGCTTATCCTCCTTAATCCATTTCATATTGCATTAAATCCAATTAATATCGGTTAATAAAGTAATCTCAGATTAGTTATCTCGGTAGCCATATGTCCCATACTTACGCACACTTATTGAAAAAAGCTTTATCAATTTGTTCTCATGCCACGGAATATCTCTGTCGTGAATTAGAACCATATTAGATCACCTTATCTTTTGACTAATTATTGGATTATCTAGAGATTTATTAATTCTAGTCA